CCCCAATCCCCAAAACCCCAAAACCCCAAAACCCCACTCTTATTTTCCAAAATTGAAGGTGTGTTTTATAAATAATTTTCCAAAATGGCAAAAGGTAAAAAGGCTAAAAATAAGAAGAGAAGTGCCCAAGCAGGCCAGAAGAGGACTAGGCATCAAATGGAGGAGACTAAGGAAATCCCAACACAACAAAAGCAGTATAAGGTATCTGAGTTTGAAGATTCTAATGGGAGACCAAAGCCTCATTCTGATTTTCTCAATGATGTCAATTCCTCAGGCGGCGACCTTGCTATGGGACTCATCATGACATCGGCAGCTGCACATGACGAAATCACCGTTTGGGATCCTAAAACAAGGGCTCAATTGCACACATTCAGAGAATTGAAGTTTAAACCAGCTTCTAATACTCTCTGTGTGACCAATGAGTGTGGAGGGGTTGTTCTCTGAGCAAGTAGCACCAAGACCCAGCTTGTAGTTTGGGATTTCAACAGCAGCACAAAATTATTTGCCATCTCCACAAAAGAGCCAATCACATGTCTCAAAATTATGAACAAGGGTGCTCATATAATCGCTGGAACGAAAGGAGGAAGGATAAATATATGGAATTCACAGTCAGGAAAACTCATTGCGGACTCTTCTGCTCACTTTGAAGAGATCACTCACATGAGCCTTGATGCAAACGACACCCTCCTTCTTACTGGAAGTTCTGAAGGGAATGCTAAGCTTTGGAGTATTGGCGACCTCATTGTAACTAGCGAGAATAGGATCAAAGATGACCAAGAAAATGTACTCGAAACTGAAGCAGAATGAATCGCAGAGTTCAAGGGGCACGCCAACAGGATCACAGGTGTCCTTATAAATAAATTTGCTACAAGAGCATACACTTGCTCTGAAGATAAGACTTGCAAGATTTGGGACTTATTCTCAGGAGCTGAGATCAAAACTATCACATGCATCAGTCCCATCAAATGAATGGAAGTTGATAAAATAGAAACAAGTATTTACCTTGGTTGCAAGAACAAGAATGTCTATTGCTTCTCTATTGAAGCCGTACTTAATGATTGGGGATCCCAGAAGTCAGCAAGGGTCTTGAATCCTCACAAAAATGAGATTTCTACAATGTCCTTGACCAAGAACGAGAGATATCTGGTGGTAGGCAGCACAGATGGCGTGATTTACATATGGGATCTTTACCAAGACGATCACCTTAAGACACTAGAGAGGCATAAAGATTGTGGAGAGATCACGAACATACTGCCACTGACCAAACCAATTTCGCTTTTTGGACTTTCTTCTGTCAAAACATCGCCTAAACTTCCATTTTTGATGGTCAACGAGACTGAAGTAAGACCCTTTTCTAACGATTATAGAACCAAAAATTAGACAAAGCTCTGTCACCTGAAGACTCCAGTGTTTATGCAGAATTCATGTGAAGGGATGACAACACGGATATGGCAAATGCCTTCCAGACTTGTACAGACATGTTGTCTAAATCTGAGGAACAACTAGAAGAAGAGTATTGGAGCATGCTATAGAATGTGGAGCACTTTCATATTCAACAATAATTGTACCAAGAGTTTCAATCTTCTATAATATTCCGGGGTTTTGGGGTTTTGGGGTTTTGGGGTTTTGGGGTTTTGGGG